CGTAATTTTTTAATAATTTGCTATATAATTACTATTATTTATGGACATTTGCATGTCTATAAATTACTTCTCATGGATATAAAATAGATATCCACCATGGACTGGACATTCAGTGGATATTGGGATGTCCAGAAGATATCCAAAGGATTTGGTGTGCTGTCTGGGTTATGGTACCAAAAATTAATTTCAGTGCTACAGACTTTGAGCTAATTTACTGGAATGAGAGCGATGTGAAACCGCCCCCTGTTTTAAGGGATTTTACTGATGATAATGTTAGGTTCTTAAGGACCTTAATCGAAACCGAAATTCCAGACTTTAATTTTCCGAAGTTCCCTTGCCATACTCGATCCGTGGATAAATGCGTAAAATTAGTTACAGAGTCATCTTCTTTAGTAATTGGTCCAGAATGAAGAGACGGCTTTATTCGCTCAAGAAATTATGCCAATAATTGAAAGTAAACGACAGTTTAAAAATCAGTAAATGTTTTTTTAACCTACTTCAAAAAAAAGGAGAAGGTTCTCAATTCGTCGGAATATTTTTTTTATATATGTTCAGCGATAATTCTTTACTAAGTTGTCCGATTTCTATGATTATTGTTAGAAAATAGGTACCTCAGAGGTAGTCCCACATAAATTTGGTCAAAATCTAAGGATGGGGTGTATGGGAAAATCATCAAACTCTTCATTTTTTATATATTTTCAGGGATAATTCTTTACCATGTTGTCCGATTTCAATGATTCTTTTTTGTTAGAAAGGGGATACCTTAGAGCAGTGTTACTTAAAGTGTGCTCCGCGAAGAAAAGAATAGTCATAATAAAAAAAGCAGTAGGTACTATCGCCACAAAAGGGAGGGACCTGTCTTTAGGACTTTTTTACAAGTCACTAAGAGGAAGGAGAATATGATTTTGCTTAAGGACCTTTTTTTTAGAAGTCACATTTCGCTTTTCAAAGAGGTTCCGTCGCCTAAAAAGTTTGAGGAACACTGCCTTGGAGGTAGTTCCGTATACAATTGGTAAGGATCTGATGATCTATGAAAAAATCAAACGAAACGTAAGCACAGCAAAACGCAAGTTTTGATGGGTATTATTGTAAACTTAATTTTTATATTATTTAAAAATATACCTATTTCGGCCCAGCCTAGTGTATGGCACCAGAGACAATCCAGCGAGACGTGTAACTCAATGTATTTTTTTTTGTTCGGTAAAAGTTATTTGGGCGATTGTAACCACAACCAGTCTATGATGGCGCCACTAGTAAATAGCGGGAAAATTAAAAATGCTTTAGGGCGGGAAATTCAAACATGGATTCAGAAATAATGTTTTTCTATACAAATTTACAGGAGAAACAAAAACTATTGTTTCACTGTATATTAAAAACATATAAAAGCTTCCAATAACATCAAATTTTTTATCACATAATCATTTTAATAAAGGAAGTTTTAATCAGTTTAATATAAACAGTGAACATAGTTTTTATTACTCTTGTAAATTTCGCTAAAAAAAAATTGAAAATTCTATTGATTAGTAAATATTTAAACTTGGAAAAATAATACACCAAACTCTTTTTCTATAAATTATATTTTTGTAAGGTACATAAAAACAAACTACAATTGCTTCATTTAGAAAGTACCTCCTATCATTTTGTGACAAATTACAAAGAAAGTAACAGTTGTTATATATTCATAATATATTTAAAAACTAATGTAACAAATATTTTATAAAGTATAGTATCGATACCTTTTTGCCAGACTATCATAAGTGCCATTTGAACAAATGTCACTTATGTTAGTCTTGCAAAAAGGTATGGATATGTTATGACTGTTTATTTGAATAGAAGCCATGGAAACGAAACACACATACACTCAACACAAATGTATAAGGCCCGAGTCAAGTAAGTTCCCATCCTGTAAACTGTATCGAAACCTGCTAGACCCCTGCTAACTCCTCTTATAGTAATCAAGATCAATATATTTATATGCCATGCCTTCTAAAAGGGAATGAAGGATTACATACTATCATCATTTAAACAGGACGTTGCTGAAGGCTTACCCCTGTTATTTCGTTTGTTTGTGTATCTTGTGTGTGTGCATTCCTGTTGTGTCCCCAGTCATGTAAAAGTTTTCCTAGTCTCCTAATTTGGTTACTAGGTGGACCTTCTCCAACTAGTAGTCTAATCTATTCGATCTGTTCGGAAGCAGGAGGTACTTTTCAAACATAGCAAATAATATTATTAATAATAAACACTATTTAAAGATAAATACATTTTTGTAATTTTTTTGTCATTGCCCCTTACCTTTCTCTTACACCACCAGGGTATACCTATTTTCCATATTCCCTTAATTATAGATTACCTTACAATGTTCGAATGAATATAACATTTTACTCATGAAAAATCTAATTTCATATTTAACTCTTTTTCAGTTTCATTTGAAACAATAATTGGTACCTATATTACAATTTATTATCAAAGAAAATTTCTAATAAAGTTATAGCAAATCCTACTTAAACTACTGGTTGTTCTGCAGGATAAATTAACTTTTCTTGAGATTGATCTCTCTATAAAATCCAAAACCGACCTGATGTCCCCAAATTTATTTTCCAATGCATCCTGATTTAAAATTCTGCCCTTTTGTGATTCAATTTTTGTTTTCTTCCTTTAGAGTGGCTGTTAGAGGTAGGTGTATGTAAGAAATAGCTAATCTCTAATCATTTCAAAAGTCCTTTGCCAATACTACATGTGCAGATTTTTTACTCAGCATACATTTTACTTTTCTAGTAGATAGGAACTTTGTGCTGCCATTAAAGCTGTCCAGACATTCATCTACCTACTTAATGAACACAAGTAGTTGTAACAATGGATTTCTGTTCCAATTCACCTAAAATAATTATAGTCATTATATTATATTATTAAACACACACATTATACAGTGGTTTTCTTAATAAATTGGAAATTACTTACCTCTAGAAAGAAATGTGTACAAAAACGCGAGTTTGGTTCCAGAAATTGCTTCATGCAAAAAATAATATGCAAAAATAAACATTCCCCCCCAAAGAAAATTAATTAAACAACAAAATCAGACTAAAAGAAATATACGGGGCCCAAAATAAATTAATTTTAATAAAATGCACATGTTCATAACATTGTCAGTTGTCAGCAGGGTTGCCAACATGCCAACCGGTCTTTACCGATTTACTCTCAAAAACTTTTCCGGATTACTCACAATTACTCACAATTTCAAAATATCAATATTACTAGTTTTTTTATATAAATTGTATATTTTGTACTCTTGCACTTTTGTTTGAATTTATTTTACTACTGTGCAATGTTGCTAATCATCAAAAGAGCAATTTCCAGAACATACAAGAGTCAAAACAGATGCACCTTTTTTCTGTGCATTCACTATTTTAATAACCAAGTAATATACAGGTTGATTCATAACTATTGGGACATAGGCTAAGGACAGGTTATTTGCACAAAAATATGGCATAGGACCAAATATACCTTAATTAAATATTGCTGTGGAATAAGATACAGGGTGTTAAATTTTAATTCTGTTTTTTCGTTTTTTTCTGATGTCACTGTATATTTATGAATTGTTATCAAAATTGGTACAAAGGCATATTTTTCGACAAGGAATAATATTTTATATATTATTTCACATTTTGTTACAGAAGGCGCCACGTGAATGATTCCTGATGATGAAATTAAGTGGTAGCTTTTTTACGAATCTTTTTAGTATATTTGATTAGAAATTTTACCCGTTTTCGAGAAAAACGCAATTGAACAACTCACAAAATATTTCATTTATGAAAAGTTTGCTTTGCAGTGTCAAATAATTTGCTGTTAGATTATAATCTATTTTTATTACTATTATTATTATTTAACGTCCTGTATCTTATTCCACAGCAATATTTTATTAAGGTATATTTGGCCCTATCGCCATATTTTGGTACAAATAACCTGCCCTTAGCCTATGTCCCAATAGTTATGAATCACCCTGTATATAAAACATCTTTGTAATCAGCTAAACAAAAAAGGATGGAGAATTAGAGTATATTCTTTATTAATGGGCGAAATCATAATAAATCATTAATTCTAATACTTAAAAAAAATCTACTAATAAAAATGAACAAAAAAAGATATTAATCGACGATTGGGACAGTTCCAATGGGACTATCACTATCGACAAGACACCTAGGGGTTGTAAAACATCAAAATCACTTTTACTCTATTACATTGACCAAGCAATAGAGGACGCTGCAATTTTAAAACTACAAAATTGTTATGACTGCTAAAAGTGCAAGGGGGTAAAATTAGGCTTATATTAATTTTTTTTAAAAGAACACGGTTTTAATAAATTATGCGATCAGGATTTTGCCTAACTACCATGAATATACCCACGCTGACTTCCCGATTACTCACATATTACTCACAATTGCCCTTTACTCACAAAATTACTCACAGACTAGTAAATTACTCACAAATGTGAGGAATTACTCACAGATTGGCAACCCTGGTTGTCAGTTTTAATACTTTTAATCGATATTTCTACGTCAAAAAACCAGCAACACCAGCGTCCTCTGAAAATGGTGTTAGTTTTATTGGAGAGAGATAGACATATGTAAAGATCAATGTAAAAGAAAAAGAGAGTCATATATGTAATTTAAATGGACCACCGAACATATTTTCCTATTAATGCTGCGTTTGAGAATCCACATCGGATGCATCTGAGATGTAAAAAATCTTTGATCACGTGGTTCAGTATACGTAAATGTAATGGGACAGATGTGTCCGATGTGGATAAAAAAACGCTCGAGATGTAAAAAATGCATCCGATGTGGATTCTCAAACGCAGCATATGTTACACGTCTCTGATGGCACTCAGGACGGCGATATACTGGTTGCATAACGAAATTACCAGAAGCAACTTGGTCGAATCATAGACTGGATAAAGGCCTCGATTTAAAATAATTAAAACGATGAAAAATTTAATCTGACATTTCTGTCATTGCCATAACCTCAGTTTTGGTCATGCTGGATTTTTATGTTGTAAATTTCATTATAGAAAAAGCATATTAAATATAAAAATGACTCGATTTGCCCGAGCAAAGGGCTCAAAGGCATCAAATGAGAGATTACCTGAGGAAGCGACACCATGGAGTGAAATGAAACAACAGTTATTAGAAAAAAATAAGGAAATAGAACAAAGTAAAAAGAAACAGGCATTCCTTAATCAAAGAAACGCGAATTATAAAGCTTTCTTGGAAGAAAAGACCGAAGATGAAATGAAAAAATCACAATGGGCAGAATTTTCATCAGAAAACATTACGAAAAACGGTTTGTTAACCAAAAATAATAAGAATGATTTTGATACTGAAATTGGTATTGAAGAATCGGAGGATGAAGCCTTTACTTCATTAAAAGCTAAAGTAGATGAAGTTTTAAAAAAATCAGAAAACAAAACTAGGTACGTACCCAAAAACTATGAATATATTTTTTTAAATTAGTGGTATTCTAAATTAAGGTAAGAACACCAGTATTCGAGACTAGTAGAACATCTTATGGCTGTTTAATGTCATTTTGTATACACCAATAATCAACGACCCTTTCACCAGTTATTGACAGTATCACTAGTAATTATCACATCCCAGTTATCGACATGACAAAGAGCATTAAGAAGTCAATATTGGATCCCTATAATAACCCTGTAATCGACAAAAAGTGTCAAACAAGTAAGCAATAAAATTTTGCCAAAAACATGTGTTTTAGAATGCAAAAATACCTTACACAAAATTTTATTCACATATCTTAACAATTTAAAAAGCAACAACCAATTTTATAATGCCCTTACCTTAACAAATTTCGTTAATGTAATAGTTGACAGGTCTAAAAATGGGCATGTTCACACCACTCTGCACTTACGTCTAGAATTTAAATTTGCACAAGCCACTTTGCCAAATCTCCACTTTCATTTTAGCTTGCTCTAATTCATAGTTTATTTTTTAACCAAATTGAAACCTCTGTACATTAAAATGTATGATAAATAAATATAAAGATTTATTATAACTAGCTTATACCTGTCACCATCAGAGAGTGAAGATATTTTTATTGATGAACTTAGTGATTATCTGGAACAAACGAAGCAATTAGATGTTTTTTCTTGCATATTAGTAGGAGTTATAAATATTAAAATAAATAGGGACAATGATATAGTCCAAAAGTACTTAAATTTGCTGAGTGAAAACAATTTTATATCGATGATTAATAAAAATACTAGAATGATAAATGATGGTTCAGGTAACTGTATTGACCATATTTTTTTAAAAAGAACATTCCTAACCTGGAATTTAAATGTGTTTCTATGGTATTTGAAAATTATGTAACTGATCACAGAGCTACAATTTTAGGCATACCAACTAATACAAGTCAAAATATTAACAAAAAACTCAGAAAGACTTATTCAACATATAAATTATGAGAAAAGATTTGAACACTTATAACTGGATTAATTTTTACAATAAAGATGACGTAAATGAATTAACACAGGAATTTATGAATACTCTAAAAAACTTTGTTGAAAAAAATACAATTCTTAAAAAAATACATAAATGTGATATTAAACGTAAACAATGGATTACCAAAGGTATAGTAAACTCGGTTAATAAAAAAAATACATTATATCATGCATTCAAAGTAGATCCTGGAAATGAGGACAAAAAATTAAATTATCTTAACTATAAGAGATTTTTAAACAAACTAATTAGGAACGCTAAATATAACTACTATAAAAAACAGATAAATATAAATAAAAATATTTCAAAAAACCTCTGGAATGTTGTTAAAAATATTTGCACTAATGAAAGTAAAAGTGAACCCAAGGACATATTCACTCATAATAATATAAAATTAAATACTCCAGAGAGTATAGCAGGTGCATTCAATGATTTTTTTATAGATGTTGGGGAATCTTATGCTGAAAATATAACGATTCCAGATACCCCTTCACCTCGTGCAAATAAAAATCAAAATACATTTTTTTTACATCCTGTAAATAACAAAGAAATATTAGATATTGTAAATACATTAAAAAGTAAAAAGTCGCCCAGTTTGTATAAAATAAAAACTGAAATATTTAAAGGAACATCTGAAATAATTTCTATGCCCATAGTTCATATCATAAACAGTATATTTATAACAAACAAAATACCTCATACATTTAAAATAGCCGTTGTTACACCCATACATAAAAAAGGAGACATAAAAAATATAAATAATTATAGGCCTATATCAGTTATATGTACGTTAGGAAAAATATTTGAAAAAGTTCTAAAAAACAGGGTAGTAAATTTTTTAAATGCTAACAATATACTATCAGAAAAACAGTTCGGATTTAGAGAAGGCTTATCGACAAATGATGCAATAGGGAAACTCGTGGAAAAGATTACAAAATGTTTGGAAATAAGTAAACCTGTAATCTGCGTATTTGTGGATCTCGCCAAGGCATTTGACACTGTGAGTCATACACAAATGTTGGAAGTCTTGGGGGATGCAGGAATAAGAGGAACAGCAAATGATCTATTTGCTGATTATTTATGTATTCGAAAACAAGTAGTAAAAATAGGTAACGTAATTAGCAATGAAAAAATAATTAACTATGGGTTGCCTCAAGGGACAGTATTGGGACCCATTTTATTTACAATGTATATAGGTAAAGAATATACTTACAGAAAACATAGCTGGAGAACTTCTTAGTTTCGCTATTTTATACAGTGCTGATAAGTGGGGTGAATTAAAAAATAAAGTTGAGAAAGATCTGGCAAAAATTCTAGATCTGTTTCGACACAAATTATTGACAGTAAACTTTGAAAAAACGTTTTTTATGCCTTTTTCGAATGATACAAGATGTTTGCCACATTTCCAAACTCTAACCATAAGACAAGATATAATAATAGAATGCAAAACTAGTTATAAATATTTAGGAGTTACTTTAGACACATTTAAAATGGGATGCGTACATTAATAATATAACGAAAACACTAAGACAACTTTTATATCGTTTAAAACATTTAAAAAATATATTAGACCAATCATTCTTGAAAATAATTTATTATTCTCTTGTTGAATCTCGTTTACGTTATGCTATATTGAGTTGGGGAGGTGCTGCTAATTGTCATTTAAAAAAACTTGATATAATACAAAAAAGTATTATAAAAATATTATTCAATAAACCATCTACTTATCCATCTCATTTGAATCTGGTCTACTTGATATTAGACAATTATTTTTGAATCAAATTATATTATTTACTTACAAAAATAAAACTCAATTGGAAAAACTTAATCATGTTTATGACACCAGGTACAAAGGTACCGATAATGCAGTCATAGAATTACTACAAAAAAATGTTAGTTTTCGTTCTTATAGTTACCTATCACGTAAGATTTATAACTATCTTCCAGAAATATATAAAACCTATCTCTTCAAAAAAATTCAGAAAATTTCGTTAAAAATATATTTAAAAAATATATAATTCTACTAGGGAGAGATGAAACTAGCAACCTAATAAACAGTACCTAAAAACTAAGTTTAAATTAGTTAATTAAGAAATTATTTCTCCTTCCTCCCTCTACCAAAAAAAAAATATATATATAGATAACATACTTATATTATATACTTTATTTTTTTACACATGTTACACATGTTTTATATTTTCCTTTTAGTGTTCATGCACAACCTCATTGGTTCAATGGACTAAATGTATCTATCTATTTATTCAGCATTTATAATTTGTAAATAAAAAATTGTAAAAACAATTATTGTAATAAAAAGAATAAATATAGTTTATTATATTTTGAAAAAACAATTTCGTTTTATTTTATAAGACAGTTTTGATAGATTTTAAATTTAAATTTTGTAATTATCACTATTGAAAGGTATTATTGACATTAAAAATAATGATCGTATTACCTAAAAATCTTTAGAACATTTTTTATTTTTATGGGATTTTTAATTGATGTAAAAATTGGTAAATAGATGATTAAAAGTAAAATAGCTATTTCAATCTGCTTACTCCCTGGTTCCAAATAATTAAATATAACCTGGCAACTATGTAACGATTCCAACTGTCAGAACTAGCCGGATCAGGAATGGTGCACACAGGAACATTTCCAGACCCTTCAACTACAACATTACCCAAATTTCTTTAGGAAAAACTAAATTGATATCACCATTTTTTGTCACTTAACTAAGTAAAACTATACCTTTGAGGAGTTTTACAGTATTGCCAGAGATATTAAACTTTCGTTCTGGCAGAGAATTATGTAACACATGACCTTATTAGGAGAGTTTAAATTAACTGTCAATTAATTGGTGCACTGTCGATTACTGTTCTTATCTTATATGCCTTAGCCTTACAAAAAAGTAAAAGTGTAAAAAAGTGCTGTATATTTACCTTTAAAGTCTTTTGCTTGTGATAAGTGCATTTTTTATCATGGTAAATATACACACACTGTAAGTTACAGTCTGTAACTAATATACTATATAACTACAGCATACATACTAGATAGGATTGCAAAAAAAATGTTTCAGTAATTTTTAAAATATTTGTAGTAAGTACCTACAATTATTGTGATGGGTAATTTTTTTCTTATTTTGAAATTTTCTGAATTAATTTGTAAACTTGTATGGTGTTTAGGTGTATAGTAAAATAAAAAAATTGTCATGATATAAGTATTTATATAGCTGAATGTTTTTATATTTTTAGAAACAATGATGGAGATGATAGTGACTCTGCTCCTGAAGAACATAGCTCAAAAGTACAGATTTCTAATCCAAAAATTAAAAAGCCCAAAATTAAAAAAATGCCAATTAATATTAAGGAAGGTTCTGAAAGTAAACAAAGTCACCAAGAAAAACAGAAAAAGAAGAAGCTTGCTGGAGAGAAAGTGATTAACAAAAATGACTCAAATGATGGCATTGAAAACTTAAAAAAGAAATTAAATCAAAAACCAAATCAGGACAATACAGAGAAAAACATAAAGAAGAGAAAACTTAATGAAGATAGTAATGATCAATCAAAATCAAAAAAAATTAAGAAAGACAAAACAAATATAAAGGTTAAACAAAAACCAAAAGAGAAGATACCGAAAGAAGATCTTACTGAGGCTGATTTAAAAAAGATTGAAAAGAAAAAGCAAAAAAGAATAAAGCAGCTCGAAAAAAAGAAACTAGCAAAGATTGAAAAAAGAAAACAAAAAGAGGAAGAGGAGAAAAGGAAATTAGAAAATGGAGAACAAATTGAATCAACTGGAGATCAAGTTATTAATGCACCTATAGAAATTAACAATAAAATAAAACAAGGAAAATTTGATGAGTCAGGCACATTTGAGAAGAAAGGTAAATTTCAAGCTACCAAAAATAGATTTGAAAAATTTGACAATGCTAAGGGTAAAAAAGAAAGAGATAACAAAGAACATCAAAGAAGGAAACCTTTTATGCCCACAAAAATGATAATAAATGGAAAAGAAGTTGATGTTGATTATGTAGATGGCTTTCCTGTCAAAAAAGAAGATGCACAGAGATTAAAGAAACTGAGAAAAGAAATGATAAGCAAGGGATTGCCTAGAAGTGAAATCAATGTGTCTTTGAAACTGGAAAGAAGGAAAGCTGAGAAAGCTTTTGCCAGAGAAAAGAAAAAAGTAAGATATTTTAAATTTTATTAAATTTGTCAGGAATAACAAATATTTATGCAATATGTCACCATTCAAAACAGTTTTGTAATAATTACCTACAAAGTACTCAATACTTATATAATTTAATTGTTAGCTTTATTAACATGAGATCCTCATGACCGAGGACGAACCGCTCTTTGTAATAATGTACATGTATTGTCGAATTCAAATGATTTCCGCAATCATATGGTAATTTCTGAATGACTGTGGTGATTTTCATATGACTTTAACAGATTTCCCGTGACTGCACCGATTTATATGTATTGACTGCGGCGATTTCCATATGGATTGCCAGTATTTTTCAACAACAATGTGTGGCTTTCTAGTTGGTTTCTAGTAAAAAAATATTAGTTATTTATACATTTTGTATAGGATATGTATGGGTCATACAAGAAAAAGAAAATTAAATTTTGTATGAGACGTGAAAAATCGTTGTGAAAATTGTTTTATTGAATTAACTTTATTTTTTAATGTTTTAAATAAGTAATAATTCTGTCGAACTAATTTTCAGTATATTTTTTTAGTTGTTGAGATTAAATATACATTACACATGAGTTATTCTTGTACAGAATCAATAAATAATAACATTCTACAAGATATTCGAGAAATTTTAATAAAACTATATAACAAATATAATTATGTCCGGTGTTCAAATCCAGGAATAATAATAAACAAAAAAATATTTTTTTTTTGTTTTTTAAAGATAATTTTATTTAATAAGTTAATAAAAATCATCAATTCATTTTAAAATTTTGTAAATTTTCGTGAGTCGTAAAAAAATTACTATACAACTCGATTGGATTGTCTATATCACATAGGGCCATCATATTCACTCTTGTTGCATAAACTACTATTATTGTGGATCACTTTTTATAAATTCTTTATTTAAACATATCTACCTAAATTAAATAAACTCACACTAACAATGCAGTTCTTTTTTCCTATCTCCAGTATGTTATGTTGGGAATGGGGTGTTAATACACTGCGACCTAAAAGATCTATTGTGTCCCCTTCTGTCGCCAATGCATCAAGGAAATATCTCAATGCCTATAGCGGCCCTTCCAATCCTATTTTTTTCAAGGAAGTGTAGGATTTGAAGTGGCTTTAAGTTAGGTAAATCTTCCTCTTCTATTTGATATCCTCCTAGATATAGTGCCCTTGGATTCTGGAGTGCTACAAATTCAGTTAGGATGTGAATGGAGGTTTTATCCTCCTCCTCACAGAATCTGCACTCACTATCCTCTACTACTCTCAGTTTACTTAGGTATCCTTTTAGTCGGCAATGCCTGGTAAGGATCCCTGTTACAATACGTAGCCTGTTCTTGCTCAGGCAGATACAGGCTTCCGATCTTTTCTGGTTATGTTCTCCCAGAAGTATCTTGGCCTGTCTCAGCCCCAAGAGATTGTTCCAATTATCGGTTCTTCTATTGCCTAATTCTGTTTTACTCTCCTAATATTATGTTACTGCTAATACCACAGAATGGCTCAGATCCTACAAAGGGTGTTTGAGCCCCTTTCCTTGCAAGACTATCTGCAATCTCGTTACCCTGTACCCCGTTATGTCCCGGTACCCAAATGAGAGTAACTCTATTTTCTCGCCTAGCTCATTCAATTGTTCTAGGCATCTCCAGACCATTTTTGAGCTGATTACCTAAGAGCTCAGCGCTTTGATGGCTGCTTGACTATCGGACATGATGATAATCTCTTGTCTATGAAAGTTTCTCTCGATGTTGAACTGGATACGCTTCTCGATGGCGTGAATTTCCGCCTGGAAGATGCTTGGGTATTTTCCCAAGCTTTCGGAGTGCTTGGTTCTCGGCCCATACATTCCTATTCTAGTTCCTTCTATGGTTTTGGAACCGTCCGTATACCACTGAATAGCAAGTCTTTTGGTTGCAAGCGCGATGGATTCTTGGCTCCATTCTTTCTTGCAGGCCAGCTCTGTGGTTTTGAAGTTTTTCACTTAACTGTACTTCTTTAGTATTTCATCCTGGGGCATGTCCCAGGTATCTTTAGTCCTAAAGCAAGTAGACTTTCGTCTGATTACTCCGTTCCTGATCATTCTATATCGTGTCCTTTTTGCCACATCTATCATGGGGTGGGGTTTAAGATCACCTTCATTGCGGCTATAGGTATACATTTTGTTTAGGATATGTATGGGTCATACAAGAAAAAGAAAAACTAAATTTTGTGTGAGACGTGAAAAATCGTTGTGAAAATGGTTTTATTGAATTAACTTTATTTTTTAATATTTTAAATGAGTGACAATTCTGTCAAACTAATTTTCAGTATATTTTTTTAGTTGTTGAGATTAAATATACATTACAAATGAGTTATTCTTGTACAGAATCAATAAATAATAAAATTCTACAAGATATTTGAGTATATTTACAAATATATCTTAAATAAACTATATAACAAATATGTCCAGTGTTCAAATCCAGAAAGTAATTAAAAAAATACTATTTTGTTTTTTAAAGTTTATTTTATTTAATAAAAGTCTTCTTATCTTAATAATCTCTAAATTAATTTTTAAAATTCTGTAAATTTTCGTGAGCTGTAAAAAAATAACTGTACAACTCGATTGGATTGTTAGTACCACATATGGCCATCATATCCACTCTTGTTGCACTTTTTATAAACTCTTTAGTTAAACATATCTACCTAAATTAAATAAACTTATATTAACACTGCATCTGCCAACTATTATTATAAACCTAAAGGGATGAATCAGGGTGGGTTTTTCATCCCTATAGTTTATTTGTGTAATATATTTTCAAAAAATTATTATTTTCACTTTTTTACATAAGTGAAGAAGAAATTTTAAATGCAATTCGAAGTGTAAAAAACTCGAGATATTCAGATACAAATGAGCTAAATAGCACTATCCTAAAACAAACTGCCCACATTATATATGATTTTTAACAATGTCATTTTTCCACATTAATTTAAATCTTCTAAAGTTCTTCCGCTCCATAAAAAAGGAGATAAATATCAACTAGACAACTATCATCTGATTTCAATCATTTCGATTTTTAGTAAAATTATTGAAGAAGTGTTAAAAAAATGTTGATATGACTATTTTGATAAACATAACTTTTTTAATAAATCTCAAGTTGGATTTAGAAAAGAATGTTCAACAACACAAGCTGTTTTAAATATTGTTCTTGAGGTAGTCAAGGGGCTTGAAGGGGGTAATCATACTGCCATCACTATGTGACTTTTCGAAGGCTTTTGATTGTGTTTCTCGTACTATTTTATAGAGACTTTGTTACTATGGTATAAGGGGTACAGCATTATCCCTACTTCAATCATTTATGAAATAAAACGTCTCATTTTAAACTTATTAAACATGGAGTTCTTAAGGGATCGGTCCTCGGACTGCTACTCTTTATTATATATAATTTTGTTAAACCTTACAAATCTGCTTTGTTGGCGTATGATGCTTCTTTTATTTACGCTGATAATAGTGTCAATAATAATAAAATCTTAGAAGGGATCAATGCGAAAGCGGAGACATAGTTTGTTTCGAATAAGTTAAAATTAAATGCAGATAAAACACAATCTACATTTCTCCACTTCCGTTTCTAAATGCGCTGTAAAAATTGAAAAATTGCTGGGCTTATATTTAGATAGTACTTTATCATGATATTGTCATGTGGATTATTTAAAGGGAAAATTGGCAAGTTCTCTTTTTTTGTTCTTCCAGTTGATAAATATCACGAATTCCGTTACTTGGAAAAGTTTATTTTTCTCTTTTGTATTCACACATCGGTTATGGGATTATTCTCTGGGATAATTCGTCTAGTGCCACAGATATTTTCAAACTTCATAAGAAGGGTTAGAATCTTGGCTGGTGTTGTTTTAGGGAACCTTGCCAGCCTCTGTTTATTATATTTCGCATATTACCATTACCATCACTATACCTGCTACACGTTTTAATCGATATTCATAAAGTCAGCAATTTCTTAACTAAACAGCCAGAGACACATGAATAGTTTACTCGACAAGCAAACAACATAACTAGCCGTTTTCGCTTAAGTAAGTCGCGGAAAAATTCACTGGATTATAATTTTTATAATAAACTACCACCTGAATAGTAAAAATAAATTGAAAAAAAAACTTTTAAAAAATTAGTATTAAGTGATTGTTTCTACTTTGTTGGTGAGTATTTAGAACACTTTCAGCAATAAGGATTGGAAAAACTCACAGATTTCATCCAGTAATTAATATATTGTAACTATAATTTTATTTATTTTATAACCTGTTTTCCACAAATGTGCTGTTTTTTGTATTTTTTTGATTTTTTAAAATGTTTATTATAGTTTTTATATATTTTTTTATATACTTTCTTTGACGTGCTATAACTATTGTAATTCAAATGTAAAATAGTCAGATATATCTATTACCTCTGTAAATCTTAGAAATTTTCCACACACATCCTACTCCAAATATATATTCATTGCCAACAAAAATACTGAAAAAAATTAAATTTTACACTTTTTGTAAAAAAATTTCCATTTCGGTCCAATTTATAGTTATCATGTATAGAACAAACATTATAGAGAATGATATCGCAAACAACTTTTATTTGAAAAATTTTCTTCTTCAATCGTAAATAACAGATAATCCTTAAAGTAAAACAAAACGACACTGTATAAAGTAGCCCTCTCCCCTCTAGATGCTTCGGCTAATGCCCATAATTTAATTAGTTCACCGCAGGATTCATTAAATCTTAAGTTTAAAATGTTTTTTATCCGTTTTTGAGTTGTCACCAAATTCAAAATTTGTAATTTTAGGGAAATTTAGAGAAATTTCCTCTCCAAGCGTAAATACTTAACATATTTTATTAAGTAGAAATACGAAATACGACCTCCTATAAAGTACCGCCCAGATTCTCCGACTATGCCCAAAATCTAATCAACTCATTAGAAAAATTGATCAAAGCTTAAGTTTAAAATTTTATGTTTTTCTCTTTATCTGTTTGTTTATGAGTTATTGAGTATTCAGACACACAGACAGATATCATCGCAAAAATCGTCAAAACGGATTCAGGGAATCCCAAAACGTAAAAATACGTCGAAAAAAATTATTCCTATATATACTTTCCTTATCTGTATACGGACAGTAAAGTAAAAAAATGCATCCTGTTAATAAATTGGATCGTTTTTTTTATATGAAATGGAGACAATTCTGGACCACTACATTGTAAATATCTTCTATACAAATAGTTCAGAAAAATTATAAACTGTGCCAAAAATTTAGAAATTAATAATTGATGACAATGGGCCTTTGGTAAACTCAAACTGCAATTTGTTTAATTTTACACAAAATGGTTTAGATGACCTAGTCAAAGCACCTACATCTACAATGGACAATAGGTAAAATGTCAACTGTCTGCGCACGATTTTTAACAATTGCTAGTGATTGCTCAGGGACTGCGGGAGAATTTGTGGAGACGATGAGGGAATTCAGAACGACTGCAACGATTTCTTAGCGATTGCCACTGATTTCAAAGGGACTGCGGACATTTTGTACATGTATTATGGGAGTGGGTCGCTCCTCGCTCATGACATTTTTAATTTGACAGAGACCGTTATTGAAGATCCAATTTTGTGACTAAATTTCTAAATAATTCGAATGACTGTTTTTCTTCTTTCATTTATTCTGAAAGTTTTTCAATAATGGTAAAATGTTTGATATTATTTAACATGTACGACTTTGACTTTCTCTTTATTAAATTTAATTATCGTTTTAGGTATGTTTCAACTGTAGAACATCTGGTCATAATCTCTCTGAGTGTCCAGAATTGGGCAAAGACCAAGTAGCTACCCATATTAGCTCAGGCATTTGCTTCAAATGCGGCTCCACTGAGCATACACATTTCGAATGTAAAGTAGTAAGAGGACAAGAATTTAAATTTGCACAATGTTTTATTTGCAATGAACAAGGACACATTGCTAGACAGTGTCCTGATAATCAAAGAGGACTGTATCCCAAAGGTAAATATTTTTTTTAGTTTAAGTTTAAACTTTATTTTACTGCGAAGCTACATTTTTATTTAGCAATATTTGAGCATAAACATCCAATACATATTATTTCCTATTTTTTAGGTGGTGCTTGTAGAGTCTGTGGAGATGTTACTCATCTGAAAAAGGACTGTCCTAAATATCAAGCTGAACAACAGCAGATACAAAATAGTCTTAGTATTGAAACTATTGGTGATAGTAATCCAGATGTTTTAGATGACAAAAATCAATTCAAAACGAATAATAGTTTAGGAAATAGAAGACCTAATAAGATTGTAAAGTTTTAAATATTCATAGAAATATATTGTTGACAATAAATGGAGTTTTTAGTTGTGAACTTTTAGTCCAGTGTTTGATGATACGTACGCAATTAGCCGTCGTTCAGTAGGAAGGATATTAAGGCGAGGAGAATATCCATACAAAATTCGTCTTGTTCAAGAGCTAGTGAAGACGATTTTGACAGACGTTTAGAATTTTGTGAAACGATTATGAATATTAATTCGGCCATTTTAAGTTCAAATTCAAATACTACTTACTTATTTTGACATCTAATGACACTTCTACCACAGTTTATAGCTAAAGAATCAGTTCGCTCACTCTACGTCGGCACTTTTGATCTCAATGTTCCAGTTTATACACTGCACAACTCGTATTTGTATCCCTGGCGCATACAGGATTAAATCATAACCAATACAATATATGACAATCGCCTATATTCAAACAGCAGTCTTCTGCGCATCCTGAATTTGTACCCCTGGAGTGGATATTATTTTGGAACATTCAAATGGTCCAACTGATTCTTTAGCAATAAACTGTGCTTCTACTATGATTTTCATGGACTACTAGATATCATTAGATTTTTCCTTACTTTAGTCACAGTTTATTGCTAAAGAATCAGTTAGCTCACTCGGACCAGTTGAATGTTCCAAAATAACATCCACTCCAGGGATACAAATTCAGGATGCGCAGAAGACTGCTGTTTGAATATAGGCGGTTGACATTAATTCTATTGGTTATGATTTGATTCTGTATGCGCCAGGGATACAAATCCGAGTTGCGCAGTGTATAAACTAGAACACTGAGATCAAAAGTGCCGACGCAGAGTGAGCGAACTAATTATTTAGCTATAAACTGTGTTTAGTTATGTTTTTGTTAAATCTCGGTTGATATTGAAATAAAAAATATCGAACCCGATATTTTTGAATTCGTAATAAAATACTTTATTTGAAATTAAAAAATTTTAATTCGATATTACTTCCGGTTAAACCGGAAGTTCAAAATTGTTAAAAAAAAAATAAAATCAAATAGGAAATTTAATGTAATACCTTCCAATTTTTATTTCGATATCTCTAACAATTCCAGAGATATTTACTTGGTTCCACACATTTGCCCATCACTGTATGTAACGTGTGGAGATGAGTGTGTTACCCCATGGCACTTAGTGCATCCTTCTAAAATGATAGGCACCTCCTAGCTCGTGACCCAGCCTACAGATTGATTATATAGCAGAGGAAGAAGTTGGAAAGGCTTTTGCCAGTTCTCCCACTTTATACACAAATTGACAGGTATGCAGCGGATCTAACCGAAATGGACACGATACATTGGCGTATAAAATGATTTTATAGATGTTAATAACAATTTCGAGGGGGGTGGGTTGGCTCAGTGGTTAGAGTCAGGTTCGAATCCCACCGTTGGCCGGGATTTTTTCATTTAATTTAATTATTTAAAATTAATTCTGATGCCTTGGTAGGATTCCCCACTCGACCATTCACTGTTGGGTTCTAATTAACAGTGCTGTTCCTAAAGTGGCGCTGGGAAACAGTAAGAAAGCCTACACAGAACACGAGGCTAATGGCCGTAGTAATCGACGCCGATGACACCAAATTAAAAAAAAAATAACAATTTCGAGTAAATAGTTTAATAAATTGTGAATAGCTGTTGAAATTTTGTAAAATTAGGATTTGAATATTATAATACATGTTTAATAATTATTTATAGTCCATAAATACATGCGATTGTCCTGTTCCGCCATAACAATTTAAAATTACTTATTCTATGAAACGACACTGGCAGGTAAACATTACAAAAAAAAAAAAAAAAAAAAAAAAAGTTCATCAAATTTCTAGAGGCTTTCGACGGCTAGACAGAGAAAGCACTACTGACAGGCATCCCGACGGATTTACGCAATGAAAGTACACTCTGCGCATGTATTTCACTATTTCATTCAGACGTAAATGTCAGATGTAAATTTCTCTAAAACATTTCTTTTATTTTCGTTTGTTTTTTGCTCATTACAGTTTAATAGAACCTAAGTATGGAGTTTAATAGCAAATTAAGAGGCCGCGTGATTAACAGTCAATCTCGCGAAATAATAGCCAATGTTATAGAGTTTATGAGAAGAGAAGGAAACTTTAATTCACCTTCAATACCATTTAAAAATGTAAATGATCGTGTTGCTGCCGCCACAGGAGTATCTAAAAACACTGTCGTCCGCATTTCTGGAGAGAAAAAAAGAATCGATAACCGTGAGATATCGGAATTTTCATCACCAAGAAAAACCATTAAAAAACCAAAAACAGTTAATGATATAGATGAAGCTGCACAAGAATCAAATTTTATTTCTTTATTATTAGATAGCTATTTTTGTTTCTGAGTTGTGTTCATTTACAGCAGTGCTCCGCAACCTTTCCTCATCTGAGGCACACCAAACTGCTCCCTAGAATTTCGTGGCACACCAAAATCTAAAATATATTTATAGCAGTGGCGTAGCTAGGTCGGGGGTCAGTTCACTCCATGTATACTAATTATTTATGGATGTCCAAACTACCTTAGTTTTTTTTATTGTTTTAAAATGTGAAGAAGCCCCTTTCAGATTTGGGGCATCAAAATTTTCACTCAGGACATAATACATATTTTTTTTTAATTTTTTTTTATTATTCAGATAGAATGAAAAATACAAATAGGTACATACATGAGAACTATACTAAATACTAGGTAGGACAGGTAGGTATACTAAATTTACTTCTGTTGACACGTCAATAGTAATAAATATTTTGACATGATGATGACTGATTAATGTGATACCTGCGCTTGCTTCGTTGAACACAAAAGTTTTATATTCGGCTCAATTTTAGACAGCGCAACTCTCATTTCTTGGTCAAGATCTTTTAAGCATGACCGTTTATCATTTTTAATTAATACAAGCGTTGAAAAACTTTGCTCACATAAATATGTTGTGGAAAACGGAAGTAGTGTGAAGATGGCCTTGTCGGTGATGCGTGGATATTCTGTCTTGATGGAAATCCAGAAAACATCTAACGGAACTTCGTCGAATTTAAGTTTTAGGGTCATATCATTACTTAATTCTGTGAACTCCTCTCGAGTTTGCAATGGCAGTGCTTCCGTGGAACTTATTGCATTGGTTGCGAAAGGATTTCGAATCCAATTGTATTGTTCCGTGTTGATAGAATGGAAATAGTATTCAAATTTTTGTTGAAGCATACTTAAATGTTGTTGGGCCAAATCCACAATCAACTGCTTGTTTTCGATCGTACTGTGGTTGGTCCTGTGATACATTTCTAGACATCCTTTTTGCAACTGTTCCTGCCAAAGTTCAAGTTTCTTTTTGAACCCTTGTAATTTATCGGAGCACGTCAATATATTTTCATTCCGTCCTTGCATTTTTTTATTAAGTTCATTCAGATTTTCGAATATATCCGCCATGTATGCAAGTTTGGCTATCCAGTATTCATCATGAAGGTGCTGGCATAGATCGTACATATCTTGACTTGAAAGAAACTCACGCACTTCGTAGCGAAGTTCAAACAGTCGAGCTAAAACTTTTCCCCGGGATAACCAACGAACTTCTGTATAAAACAGTAAGGATTCATGTTCGCTTCCCATTTCTTCACAGAGTATTCCAAAGATTCGCGAATTTAAGGCTCTCGATTTAATTATGTTTATGATCTTAATACATTCATTCATTGTGATCGAAAGCTGTTCGGGCAAATTTTTGACCATCAATGCTTCTCGATGTATGCAGCAATGTGTAATTTGTATTGACGGATTTTTTTGTTTTACACAAGATACAAAACCTTTCTTACTGCCCATCATTGCAGCAGCACCATCTGTACAAATAGCAACGCAATTGGTCCACTGAATATTATGTATTTTAAAAAAATTATCAGTTACTTGGAAAATTTGTTCACCGGTAGTTCTCTCTGGAACCTCCTTACAAAATAAATAATGTTCTTTAATAGAGTCCTCGTCAACGAAACGTACAATAGCCATCAGTTGTGCTTTATTTTTAATATCGGTTGATTCGTCGATTTGAAGCGCAAAAATTCCAGCCGAAATGATTTTTTTAATTAGTGTTCCCAAAATATCACTTGACATATCTTGGATACGTCTTTTAACAGTATCGGCCGACAAAGAAACTTTACTCACGTCCTTAACTTCGTTTGGCCCAAGCATAAGTCTAACAATTTCCATGCATGCTGGTTTAATAAGCGTTTCACCGATAGTGTGCGGTTTTTTTTGTTGTGCAATTAATTTTGCAACAAGGTAGCTTGCTTCTAATGCCTTTTCAGAAACCGTAACCGCCGATTTCATAAACTGCTTTTGTTTCTTATTTTGATCCAAGCGCCGTTGGAAAAATTGAATGTCTTTTTTGACGCAACTGGGATGATTTGTGATCAAATGACGGTTTAGTTTGCTGGGTACCATTGCTTCATTTGACAACTGTTCACCGCAAATGACGCATTCAGGCTTTGGAGCCGCTTCGTCGCCACACCAAGTGAAACCATATCGAAGGTAGTCTTGATTGTACTTCCTTTTCAGCACCTTTTTTGCTCTTTTTGCAGCACTTATGCTGGAGCTTGTGCTAGGTTCTTCGTCATCTGCTCGTGATTTCAGCAAAAATTTATCCATATTTGAAGCACTATAGTTATTTATAAAAGTAGATACTGCAACAAAACTTAGTCCAGTTCACTTATTTATAAGGCACAAGAATTTATTTATATAGCAATTCACTATTTATTTCACTCTACGATTTATTTGTTTGCCCGCGTATTTATCTGATTCACTTGACTATTCGACTCTCTCTGAGTCTCTGAGCGACGACAGGCGCGCTTATATAGGCAGTGGCGATGTTCAGGAAAACATCGAGTCGCGCCTCGAACGGCACGGATCTTTCTAGTTTAGTCGCCTTCGAGAATCAAGCAGCCGCGCCGCGCCGATAGACGTTTACCATCGGCGCTGTTGTCAGATTTCTTTATTTTTCGCGGGTCTCGCTACAATACGAATCTGATTCGTATTGTCTGCA